CACACACATACACACACACATACTCACACACACACTCACACTCACAGAAACACACTCACACACACACACACACACACACACACACACACACTCACACTCACACAAACTCACACTCACAAACACACACACACACACACGCACACACACATACACACACACACTTACACACACACATTCACACATGCATTCATTACTTATGACCACGTCTGTCTGTCTGTCTGTTTGTCTGTCTGCTGTCTGTCTATCTGTCTGTCTGTATGTCTGTCTGTCTGTCTATTTGTCTGTCTGTCTGTCTGTTTGTCTGTTTGTCTGTCTGTTTGTCTGTCTGTCTTCAAATCGGCCCATTTGTTTTGGGCGGTATACCCATTGATCCTACTCGCTAATTCTCTGCAAACCAATGCTCTACTTAATTCTACCTATAATAAATAATTAGATATATGCATCAATAGTATTATACATGAGATTAAGTCAATTAGTAATACGCTTTTAGAGTATAGATTTACCCATTCTTATTGGAAACCAGTGAGAAAGTACCTGGAGGTACCTGGATCTAGCTCATTGTGTGTCAACCCTTTTATCAAACACTGCTTTATGGCGCTTTTGCTAATGATGAATTTATTATGCTTCTTGTCATAATGCCACGATATTTGAGCGACTAATTGCAATTTTATTTTAAAGTATGTGTTAGAAAATAGAAAACTAGTTTCTCGATAAGTATTGTTTGAAGGCTCTGAATATTATGTACCCTCTACCCTGGTTCTAGCAGATAAATTTGTCGGAGAACGTTGCTGTCTTTTATATACGTACATTATTAGATCGTGTTTATGGATACTCACGAATGTTTTACTATCGGTGCTTATCAAACCACCTTTTTAAGAAAAACAGTAGTTGAGAAAAGGAGATTCCATCTAGTTCTGATTACGATAAGCTCCCAAAATCTCTATAAAAGCCATTTGACTTCTCGAGAAATCGTGACGTTGTATTTAAAAAGAAAAATATGTCTTTCCATTAGCGCTACCTAGGAGTTCATTTTGGAGTTTAATGAGTACAAAATATGGCGTTTCAAAGTAGCTGTCTTAGAGCAAACATTCTTTTTGTGAGACAGGAAAATGTCTCATGTTCTCATAATTGGCTACCTATAGATGTTCTAAAGTTTTCAAGGAACTGAGAATGACCTCAGTATAACTGTTAAAATTCGCTGCCAAGATTAAAGAAGGTTACAGGGCTTCCAACGAGCGTTTATTTAGTTTTATGAATCAAGAGAAAGATTAAAGAAAGTTCTCGAGAAAGATCAAGAGAGTGCTGAAACAGCCCTCCTGAAACACGTTTGGGTTTTTCAAGAGTAGGCTTCGAATGATTAATGTTGTTATTGCTCGCCATCAGCTAACATTTCTGTAGTCTCCGCAGTGGAGAACGATCTGAACATTAGTATTTGTTTCCTAAGTCTTTAGCCAGGTTAGAGAAAGTTCTAGAGTTTCCATCAAAGTTTTGTTTTTTTTTGTTTTTCTCTTTGATGTTTATGGAGAGAGTAAAAAGGAAAGTCTACAGAAAGTTCTAGATTCAGCTGAAGTTAAGGGTTGTCTGTGGCTTTGGTGCATGTTGCATTGTTTTGGTGGTTCCCTAGCAACAGTGCATGCGGAATGACTGGCCTCCCGCCGTTGGCTCTGATTGGCTTGGCTCTTCATGGCCTTGACCTTTGACCTTTGACATGCCCTTTAACGCTTCCATTCCCATGTTGTGCCCGTCGGCCCCTCCCCCTTTAGCCATGTCTGTTTGTTTGGTCTGTCCACTAACTCCCGACCAGGCCCGGTCTTTTCTTACAATAACTTCAAGACCTACTAGTTCAATCAATTCTGTTTCCTGTGTTTTTTCCCCATGATTGCTCAGGGTTGTAATTGAAGCACCAACTAATCAGACAATGATTACATGATTATTATTTTGCCAGAGATTGAATTAAGATTCCTTAAAGTTATCAGACTGCACTAGTAACTGTACATTATAATGAATTGAGTTTTCACAGATGCCATCTCTGTTTACTTACATGAGCTGTTTAGATTTAAATACATGTATTGTATTTTTCCTGCACTTTCAGTCAATGGATCTAAGCAGCGTAGATAAGCCTCATGTTTGTTTTTTCCCATATATCCAACGCGCTAAGTAAAGCCTAAATCTTAAAACTGAGTGAAGACTTTACGCTGTAAAAACTTGTGCTAGGAACAAGTTCTTCCCAGGGACTTGTTCACATTATATGTCTATTATAACTGGCTCTTGCTTGCTCGCGGCAATTTTTATTATTATGTTTCTTTTTAAAGTGCAAAGTGTTTTCTGAACTGTTTTTGACCTCAGAGCAGTTGAGTGATTTCTTTTGTTAATTTGGAAAAAGTACCGTACGCAGATCTTTTTTCTTCTCTCTTTTCATTAATTTGTGTTTTCCTCATTATGACCTTTCCAGATTAACAATTAATTTGAAACTTTTAACTTGCTAGTGAAAGCTTCAGAGTTTATCGTGTGTTTATTTTTTGTTCTTTATTCACTTTTATAAGCGTACTAGATGATATTTTTCTCTCTTTCAATTCTTGTTTCCCCTGATTATGAACTTTCTAGATATACAATTATTTTCAAACTTTAAACCTGCTAGAAAAATCTGTAGAATATATCGTGTGTTTCCTTTTTTTTTTTTTTTTTTTACTTTTCTTTAAGAAACATACAATCAGGGTTTTTTCTCTCTTTTAATTCTTGTTTTTCCTGATTATCGATTTGCCACATAACCTCAGGATTCTCATTCATCAAAGGCACCGTTCAAGATGAGTATAATAATGCTAATGGTAAATGACAACTTGCTCTTCCACGCTTTTACTGCCCTCAGCAAAGTTCTTCTGTGACTTGGATGTCGTCATGTGATCACTCTGTGTGTTTGTCAGTGTGTGTCTGTGTGTATGTGTGTGTGTGTGTGTGTGTGTGTGTGTGTGAGTGTGTGTGTGAGAGAGAGAGAGAGAGAGTGAG